GGGAAATCCCGAAAGAAAAGAAAAGTAAAACGAATATCTCGTCCACCAAAACTTTGATAAAACAAAAAGAAAACCCGGACAGGGGGACCGCAAGCACTCGTATGGGACTAGGCTCAGTTATATTTATTCTCGAGGGACCACGAAGGCTGCTCGGTCACCCGAATGTACAGAACCCGCCACTCGTCTAGAAAGGTGTCCTGAACCTCACTTAGGGGGCTATCTCCCAGCCTAAACAGGTATTCGTCAGGTGGACAATGTATTTTAAACACATATTTTAAAATTCATATTTTTGACATACACATAAATCTTAAAAAAGATTATCAAATTTTGTTTTATGAAGAAGAATGTATTTTATATTTTGAAATAGATTTTGGCAATTTTTATTGTCCACAAGACGATTACACCGTCAGGCATAGGATCGCCGACCCACTGAGGAGGTTCGAGCCAACTCCCGCTAGACTTATGTCGGTAAAAGGATATCATATCCTATTATTCATCAAATGCCTGGATCTTGACGTTATAGGATATGACATCTTTCTGTTCTATCTTCGGTGTGCCTTTATCATCAACACCGTACACCCCAAAACGACTACTTGCGACCTTGCTTGATGGTTTCACGTATAGCAAAAGGCTATATGTGGACACTTATGCATCGGACATAAGCATCGAAAACCGAGCCAAGAAACAAGGAAATAAAAGAACAAAAATGGGGTGAGAGAGAGGAGACACTGATCCATCTAAAACAACGAAAAGGAGACTGGATCAGTTCTAAAAAACTCCTATCGAAAAGACCTGGAAAAATAGGGCCCGAGGTCTTTTCTAACAAACTAAAAATATACCTTCGCACTGATTCTCCAAACCCCGAGAACGCAGGATTAATCAAATCAACCAAATACTCTCCCATATAAAGCTTGCAAATCCTCCCCAGATCCCAAAGTTGATATCAAAATTTTCTGACTTCCAACTTAATCCATAAACTCATATATCAAATAAGCACAGAAATCTTCCCATCAAATCACATAAATGCTCACGATCGGGATCACCACAAAGAGATGAACAGCAGAGGACTCACGGCCGAAGCTAACAAAAGGATCACCAAAGGCAATTATGCTTCCTTGACAAACTGAAAGGATAACTGAAATAATTATAATTTTTGGGATGGCAAACTTGATTCATCCACAACTCTCAAGACAATCCAAGCCTAGCAGGGAAAGCCAAATCACACCCAAAGGCCTGCAATAGAACTCACGGGTAAGGAGTAGGAACCAAAGCCAGCAAAGCCACCTCCCCTATAATCATTCAAATGATTCAAACTCAACAAGAGGGGATAAACTGAACTCAAGAAATTTCAATGGGTCTCACGGGTAGGAGTAGGAACCAAAGCCAGCAAAGCCACCTCCCAACCACTCCTCTGGTAAAGGCTGAACAAAGCAACACAGCCCTCAATCAAAGCCAAACCGAGCCCAACAAGAAACAAAGCCAAAACCGAGCTCAACAAGGCTAAAACAAGCAAACACAGGCCCCACCTTAGAGCCAATCCAAGTCCCGCAAAGGCCAAACAAAGCAAATCAAGACCAACGACTAGAGCCAAACCAAGTCCAGCAGAGCTAAAACAAGCAAACACAGCCCACACTAGAGCCAAACCGAGCCCAGCAAGGCTAAACAAAACCAACACAGCTCCCCATCTAGAGCCAAACCCAGCTCATCCAAGAATCAAAGCCAAAGCCAGCCCTCACAGCTCCCTATTTAGAGCCAAACCAAGCTCAACCAAGAACTAAAGCCAAAGCCAACCCTCAACTAGAGCCGAACCGAGCTCAATCAAGAACCAGAGCCAAAGCCGAGCTCCCAACTAGAGCTAAACCGAACTCAATCAAGATCAAAGCCAAAGCCGAACCCAACAAGAAACAAAACCCAAGCCAGCCCAACAAGAAACAAAGCTAAAGCCAGACACAGACAATATTAAAATCCAGATTTTCATTAAAAAAAATGAAGTTTTAGCCATTTCAAGCCAAAACCAAGCCTCCAAGCTGAGGAATCATCTGCATATCTAAATATGATTTCAACAGATATTTGAACAGGAGTGAGGCATCACGAGGAGCTAAGTCAAGCCCTCAAAACAAGCTACAACATTTTTTAAATTAAATAAATTCCCTCGTAGCATACATTTTGAACCAGGGAAAGCAACAGAAAGCCGCAATCGAGCCCCCTAAACATGCATAAAACAGTAAAATGCACTCCCTAACTTAAGCAAATAACCAAGTCTAATTTTAACACATGCTCACATTTT